AGTACAAATGTAGTGGAAGGTACCTCACACACAGAAGAGCAGGACACAGTCCCAACCCTGTCCCCTCCCCTAACAGCTGTGTAGCAGCTCAGTTTGCTCCTCAGCATGATGGGGACAATGCTGTCTACTCTCCAGGCTGACACAGATGACATGAAAGACAACAGAACAGCTTGCAGTGACTGCTTTCCATCACTTTAAAGAGACAAGGGGCATGCCATTTTCTACTGACAGCAAGCTTTGACCTGACATTCAGTTCTCAAGGGTTCTCCCAGATGGATGTAGGAAGTGGATTTCTCTCTCTGTCCCCATTCCTCCTGATGCAGGCACGCTGTATCACAAGTCAAATGGAAGTGTCTCACTGTTCTGGTCTCCCCAGGACCTTCAGCCATCAAGATGTCAAGGTCATGCTGGCAGCAGGGATGAGAGGGCCTCATGAAGGCCTCTACTAGGGACTGCTCTGGGGCCAGAAGACATGAGGCCCGGGCAGTGCTGCATCAGCTCAGATGGATTCTAGAGTGCTGGCTCTGGCCGCTCCAGGCTGTGGCACCGGAAGAGACTGTGCCAGACCCATTTGGAGCTGACAGCATCAAGTCCACATTGCCTGCCCTGCTCAAGCCTTCCATGGCTGTGCTGTATGCCGGCTCTGCAAGCATGTTTCTGGGTATCTGGAATGTGGTGTGAAAATCCCTGCCATCCCAAGGGAGCTGTGCATTATCTTAGTCTATTCCCAGCAGCCTACCTGTGACGGACACTGTTGGGTTTTGCTCAGGGGAATTTACCTAGCCACATTGGACAGGTCCAAATGCTTCTGAACCTCCAGCAGAACGTCTCGGAAGAAGCGCAGGCGCTTCTCCTCAAACTGCTGGCACTGCTCGAACACCTGCTCCATGTTCTCCATGTACTGCGGTGTGGTCTGATCAAGCTCCTTCAGGGCCTTCTCATACTTGTCCTTGGTCTGTGTGGAAAATGCCACAGACAGAGGTTTGTTTCCATCTCACATTCATTTACTGCATATGCCACGTGACTTCTCCACACACACTCCCCCCCACCACCTACACACAGGTAGATGGAGATGAGAGGCGGTCACCCCAGTACTCAGATGGGCTACTGACTGGCTTATAATGCTCTAACTTCATTACAGAATCCACACCTGCATGGATTATTAAGGCAGGGCCCAGTTTGAGGAAGTAAGTCTCAGAGATCATGTCTCTGATGGATCTACTCTGTCTCCAAATCCTTCCTCCCTGTCTATTTCTGCCTTCTCTACTATATCCTCCCACTGTCATGGTGCTCTAACTTGAGCATCAGGAACAACAGAGCCCAGGTGGCCCTGCCTGAAGTCTCTGAAACTGAACCAAGATAGACTATTTCTATTCCAAGCTGTTTCTCAGGTATTCTACACAGAAGAGGAACCAACTACTTGAGTGCCCTGAGGACTAAAGACAGAGTTATGGGTCTGTTGGAAACTACTTTTAATTCTATATACAAGAATACATGCATACACACATACACTCTTCCAGGGAAGGTACTCTGGCTACTAGAACAATTTCTGTCTTCTCACAGTGGAGCACCAAATGTACTTCGTCTAACCTAGGACTCAGTCTCAGAGGTCCCTTCCTGTATGTTCTACAGAGATTTTTTCTCTGAGCCTTTTCTGGCCTACTAGAAACAGTTTCCACTCACATTCTGGGCCCTATTCCTGTTTTTCAACCTCTTTCTCTTGGCATCTGGTTCCTTCTTCTAAATGTTAAGGGATGGCCTGGCCCAGCTGGGTCCCCCATGAGAAAAGGAAAGGTCATTTATGCAAGGACAGAGCTCCACAGAATTTCTGGTTACACCCTGCCAACTTTAATCCTGTACTCCAACTTGGAAGCACTGGGTGGGAGCCCTGGATCACAGACTCCCAGCACTGAGGAACAGGAGCCTTCAAGCCACAAAGGCTCCTAGGAAAAAAAAAGTACCAGATGTCCCTCTTACTGGATTCCCCACTTCCAGCTTGATTGTATTAAGGCTATATCCTGTCCCAGAATCAACCAGGGGCCAAGCAAAGTCATCACTATTCAGAAAACCCCAATGTAGACAGAAAGTCCCCAATGGCTTATCAGAGATCCTGTGCCCCTAATGTGAACCTCCTTTTGGATGAATACTTCAAGACACATTTCTGTCCTAGGAAGATAGTCTGTGAGCAACAGCTGGTGCTAGCTTGTACTCCTCTCCAGTATTCTAGGGATACAGAGAACATTCAGGTTCTGAGATCACTGGCTGACTACCCAGGAAGGGAAAGATCCAAAAGGGAAGCCACCACTACAAGCGTCTGCCTCCCTCACAGACACTTCAGGTCAGACCTCATGCTCTGGGTCTGTTCTGCAGAAACACCACACTGGTGATATCTATTCTGTGAGGTGAAAAATCAAGGCTCCTCCCTTTCCTTCCTTTCCATACAGACACAGACACACCATGGGTGTGCTTTATCTTCCTCCTAAGCACCTTCCTGGGCTGCAGATTTCTATGGTCCTAGCAATGTCTTTTATCGTTCCCAAGGCCTTACGTTTCTTGAACTCAAAGTACCCACTCCTATCTAGCATAGAGGCCCAGATCCCTCATCTGAGGCTGTTTTCAAAGCTCCTCCAGTTCCTGACCCCAACTGGGTTGGGGGCTACTGGAGCCATAGACCTTATGGGCATGGCATTTCCCCTTGCTAGGTAAGGCAGTGAAAAAATGCTAGTGCGAAGTGCAGACGCTGGAGTCAGACTGCTGTTCTCACGTTACAGAGCAGCATGTTACTCATCCTCGATGACCCTGGCTCCTGATTCATAAAGCAGGAATGTACCACACCATCCAAAGGGACTGCAGGGCCCTATCCAGCCTGGCAAGGGTGTCAAGTCGGTGCCAAGCAGCTCAGCACTTGCACCTGGCAGCCTTAAGTCCTGTTGGGACCCAGACAGCTGTGGCCTCACTCCATCTGCTCCTGCAGACTCAGGCTGGCCAGACCATAGGCAGGGAGGTGGACCCTGGACCATCACTTACAAACCAGTGGCAAGGGGGAGCAGAGAAGACCAGCCCAGCCCCAGGAACTTGTAAATGACAAGGTGCCAATTAGTATTTCATTCTTGTGATTCTGGGACCATCCTATACTAGTGGGACACATTGGATTACAAAATGTTCTGACAAAGCCATGTCCATGTCATCTTCTCGCCAACCCCCTGAGGGAGGCAGCCTGCCTCCCAGCAGATGCAGAAGGGCTCCCAGGACCATGTGCTGTGCACAAGTGATGCTGACATTCAACACAGCAAAGCAAGTCTGTGGTTTACCTTTAGAACATCCTGCTTGCATTTTTCTATCTTGTCTTGCAGTTTCTTCAGCTGCTCAGGGTTGAGGGATGGATCTGCTTTGCTGTTGGCTTCCCGAGAGATGGCCAGCTTCTCCTCTTTGCATGCTGTGTGGTGTGCTTTCTTTGCTGCTTCCACCTACAGGAGAGTACTTTCTCAGTGTAGCCGTGCTGCAAGTTCAGACCTTCAGACATTACACAGGCTGCGAACGGCACACAAATGTCTGTGCTTCATCCCTGGGACAACTGGCAAGGCCTCACTCTGTAAATACCTATCCACACATGGTTCTAGGCACTGAGACATAGGACAGAGATAAACCCAGGACTTAATTTGTGGATCTGAATTAGGTGGCCAAATGTAGGCATGATGAAATGCTGGAGTAAATTAGAAGGGCTGTGTGCTATGGAGGAAAATCTAGCTGAGCTATCATGGTAACACCAGAAGCACAGGGAAAGAAGTCTATAAAGAATGACAGACAAAAGACCCCTGAGATTGCTTGGAGTGAAAAAAAGAGGTGTAAATACCTAAGAAAAAAGCATGTCAGGATAGCCAAGACAAGGACACTCCAAAAAAACCAAAACCAAAACCAAATCAAACAGAAACTAAAAAAACCTTGAAGGGTGTAATTGCACATGCAGGCAGATCTCTGTGAGTCTGAAGCCAGCCTGGTTTAGAGATAGATACAGGACAACCAGAGCTGTTACACAGAGAAACCCTGTCTCAAACAAACAAACAAAGAGTGAGACTGGGGTGGGGTGGGGGGGGGCAAGCGCAGAATCTCTCACACAAGTAAAAGGCTTAAAGCCTTAAAGCGGCTGGCAGGGATTAGGTCACAATTCCCAAGGCCTTTATTGACAAAGCATCATGATACAAAAGTCAAGAAAAGGTCATCTCAGAAGTCAAGAACTCATATCAGGTGTTCTTAACCTTCGTAATGCTGCAACCCTTTACCACACTTCCTCATGTGGTGGCGACTCCCCCTCCCCCAATTATTAAATTATTTTCATTGCTACTTCTTAACTATAATTTTGCTACTGTTATGAGTGCAAAGTAAATATCTGTGCTTTCTGATGGTCTTAGGTGACCGCTGTGAAAAGGTTAATCAAACCCCAAAGGGGTCACAACCCACAGGTTGAGAAACACTGGTTTAGACGATAATCCCAACTCAGCCCTTCCAAGCATCAGCAACAGTGCCTGGCTCCCCGGGTCTAACAGCTACTGTACACAGACTCTCTCTCCTTTTCCCCATGCCCGGTTCCTGCCTTTCCTCCTTCAGAGATATATGCATACTTAACAGTGGTGGCCTTATTTGAATCGAAGCCATAGATTTCATTCTAGGAGAAAGAGAAGTGTGCAGTAATGGACACATGGAGGGAAGACAGTTTCATTTATGAAAGCTCAGTGCAGGCAACGAGAAAGGAGAGGTGGGAAAAGCTAGACACAGAGAAGAGGAGAGCAGGCAAAGATGGAGGCATGCATGGATGACTCTGAGGAAAGCGGCACAGCTCCTGGGAAACGTGGACGGGGTGGCATTCCACTGAGAGGATGAAGTGACCATGCTGAGGTCGAGGAGCCGGTGACTTCTGCCAGTCAGCCACAGCCACATAGGCGTAACGAGCTTGACCAGTGCTTCTCAAACAGTGGTGTCTGTGCTGTGTGTTCATTTGGGAAAAAGATAATTTTTGAACTAATCCTTTTATTAGTCCAAAGGCCTCCATGTCTGGCACAGACGATTCCCCAGGCTGCAGAGAGATGTTACTGGATGAGAACTTGAGTTTAGAGCTTTGCTAGCGACCTAAAGTTCCGAGTCTATGCTGGGTGCTGGGTGGTATGGATTAAATGGGAAGGAAGCACATAAGGCAGGGTCTTGGGCCCAGAGAGGGTCTGTTCTCTACCAGCTTCGTTCTCCTGTGGCTAAGACACGTTACTGCAAGTGCAGGAAGGGAGCCCGGTCAGTGGAGTAGCTACCCAGAGAGAGACAAACTACGGTCAGTAAGACGGCTGAGGGAGGGAGGTACCTCTTTCAGCTTCTTGGCCCAGGGCTTCTGGGCCTTTCGAAAGCCATCCTCTGCTTCCTTGGTCTCCTTGAAGCCTCCCATCATCTGCTTGTGAAAGGCTTCCTTCTGCCAGTTCTTGATCTTCTCAAAGTCTTCATTCATCAGTGATGCCTTCACTTCCAGGTGTAGCTCACTCACCCTCTCTGCTTCAGACATGACAGCCATCCAGGCTTTCTCCACGGTTCCATACTGTGGTCCTGACACAGGGGAAAAGTAGTGACTTAGCCTCTGCTAGCAGCAGGATTTCCTGTGATCCCACAGCTGTTTACCTGGAAGCAGCCTGGGCTGCAGACAATTATTTTTCTAAAGCCTTTGAGCTTGTGTGTGTGCACATTCATGTGGGTATCCATGTACATGTGTGTAATGGGTTCATGTAAAAGTATGTACACCTGATAAGCATATTTTACATGCACATGTGTGAATGAGTGTACATGTGATGTGCAGACACATTTTCTTTTTTTTTTTTTTTTTTTTTTTTTTGGTTTTTTTTTCGAGACAGGGTCTCTCTGTGTAGTCCTGGCTGTCCTGGAACTCACTCTGTAGACCAGGCTGGCCTCGAACTCAGAAATCCACCTGCCTCTGCCTCCCAAGTGCTGGGATTAAAGGCGTGCGCCACCACTGCCCGGCCAGACACATTTTCTGTGGAGGACAAGGTTCATGTTAATCTTCCTTAATCACCTGTCTGTTTTTTGATACAGATTGCATGAAGTCTGGATTCAGCTATACAGGTTGGCCAGCAATTGCCCAGGATCCTCTAGTCTCTGTTTCATAGAACTGGGATTACAGGTTTGCAGTGCTGTACTTGGCTTTTTAAAGAGATTTTTATTTTAAATGTGTGTGTGTGTGTGTGTGTGTGTGTGTGTGTGTGTGCGTGTGCACGAATGTGCGTGTATATCTGGTGTCCGTGAAGGCTTAGAAGATGATACTGGCTCCCCTGGAATTACAGGTGGTTTTGAGCTGCCCTGTGCTGGTAACAAAATCAGATCCCCTGAAAAAGCAACTGGTGCTCTTAACCACTGCACAGTCGCCCCAGTCTTGTGCCTGACTTTTATGTAGCAAGGAGTTGGAAACCAGGCTATTTGCAGGGCAAATGCTTGCCCACCTAAGACAGCTTCCCTGCTCCCTCTGAGTCTTTAAAACAATGCTTCCTGCATTTAGAGATTTCAATTTGTTTAAAGATGGCCAAAAAAGGGAGAACTCTAGGAAGTGAACACCCCACCTCTCAACCAAGAATTCTCTTGCTCCAGTGACAGTCCAAGATGAACATGCCTTTGTTCACTCCCATGAGCGGTGGGCCCAGAGGAGGAGTGTCAATGGAGACAGGACAGGGGACATTTTATAGTCCCAGGGATTCGGGAAGACCCAAAGAGTCAATTTTCTGCTGGCCCAAGCCCCACTCCTCTCTGTCATGACTTGGAACAAAGACTGCAGGTTGCTACAGTATTCAATGGCCCAGCTGGTTTCACCTGGTTCACTGTTTTTGTTCTTCCCCTTCCTATCCAGACTCCTTATCCAAAGAGACAGTCCTGATGAAGGACTTTCCTCCTGAGGCTTGGGGAACTAGAACTAGAAGGGAATGAGCTGATATAATGTCCCCACACTGTCCAGACTGTGGGCTGTGTACTTTTTCTCTCCTCTCTTCCCTCTTGCACAATAGACTTCCTTTCTGCTGAGGAAGTGGTCATCCTATAGGCATCCTCAGGCCCTCAGTAGCTGTCATTCTCCTGTGGATGACAAGGGGGCACTGCAGCAGAAGATCAGGGATCTTTGCAACTGGCAGTTTGGTGTCATCAAGGAAAGGGGACAGAAGCTAATGCAGCCTGTGCTTACTACATGACAGGCACTGTGCTGCCTTCTTCCACACACAAAAAAAAAAACCAAAAACCAAAAACCAAACCACCACCAACAAAACAAAACCAACCACCACCACCAACAACAAAAAACTCCACAGCCCCAGGAGCTGCAAGATGCACTCCTGGCCCACTTGTGAGTAATTCATCAGGGGTCCCTGGCAAGTGGGTAGCTGGTACCATGCCTGGGCTTACTTACCCTTCTCTACAAGCTGCCTCCATCGTCGGGCCCACTCAGTGAGCTGCTGTGCATATGCCTTCTCGATGCGTGCCCGCTCGTGCAAACAGTTCATGAGGTCACCACACAGGCGGTGGCCATCATCAACCCGCTTCACAGTCCGTTTATAGTTCCCAACCTGGGAGACAGAGCTATGCTGAAAGGTGGGCATTCAGCATGGTGTCCACTGGCTAGAACCCTCCAGCATGGCTAGCCTAACTGTTGTTGCTATACAAGGAAGTATGGTTCCTCATGTTCATCCTAGGGGTTTATCCCATCTCCTCAGACTGATGGTTACCCCATGTTGCCAGACAAGTCCCTGTTTTATTACCAACAGGAGTAAGTCACCAAACTGGAGCTTCTGGGTGTAAAACTCCAGGTCAGATCCTATGGCAGAAACCAATTAGGAGGTCAGGGAAGGAGGCAGGTGAGCAAGGGGCAGGGCTGAGGAAGGAGGGAGGGAGGGAGGGAGGGGGGGGGGGAGGGGGGGGGGGGGGGAGGGGGGGAGGGAGGGAGGGAGGTCTTCTGGCAGATGGAGGAGGGGTGGCTTCCACAAGCTGGTAACATGTAACTAAATCCTCGCTTCCCAACTTAGGGATTATTATTACTTCCCAATGAGAGTAAGTAGTACATATACTTTCCCACCTACTGAGTGACTACTTTGTACCAGGCACCTTGACAGGTGTTTTACACATTTCCTCATCCCTAAGTGGCAGCAACTATCCCCCACTTCACAGATGAGGAAACTGAGGCTTAGAGTACTGAGAACAGGTCAAAACTGCAGTCACACTGGCTGGGCTGGAGCTTAAGGCAGTTAAAAAAAATACTTTTAGGTAGGACAGCCTAGACGGCAAAGCTCCAAAGATTATCTCTTTTGTCAAGGGCAAGTTTTGGCTACTTTTTTTCACATACAAAGGGAGAAGCTAGATTATCTAAATTAGAAATAGCTATGAAAATATTTGTAGGGGCTGGGCAGATGGCTCAGCGGTTAAGAGCACTGACTGCTCTTCCAGAGGTCCTGAGTTCAAATCCCAGCAACCACATGCTGGATCACAACCATCCGTAATGAGATTCGATGCCCTCTTCTGGTGTGTCTGAAGACAGCTACAGTGTACTCATAAGTAAAATAAATAAATCTTTTAAAAAAAAGAAAATATTTTTATACTCTGTGTGTGGTATATACACATGTATGTGCACACAGGCGTGAAAGCCAGACATCAATGTCAAGTACCTTCCTTAATCATTCTGTGTGTGTGTGTGTGTGTGTGTGTACGCGCGTGCACGCACGCACGCACGCAGCTCATTTTTGAGACAAGGTCTTAAAGAACTTGATGCTCACTTATGGATTTAGCTGTACTAGCTGGCTACCGAACCCAGAGACCCTCCTGTCTCCGTCTGCCAGCACTGAGGTCCAGGCCTGCGCCATCACACTCAGCGTTGTCTGTGGCTGCTGAAGATCTGAACTTCGGCCACCATGCTTTCATGCCAGTATTTTACTGACTGAACTACCTCATCAGCCTGTTTCATCCTTCAAGCTGGTGTCTTGGAAGGGCACCAGTACCAACAGGGGAGGGCCCACAGAGAGCAGCACAGAGAAAGGACAGCACAGTCTTATTAGTTTTCTACCTGTACTGTCTAAGCTCTTAACCACTCTTGGGCTTTCTAACACTTTCCCCACTGACTGTCCAGTACATCGTTCAGCCTCCAAGCCTCTGAAGGAAGATGGGAAGCCCTCTCTGCAGTGCTATGTACTTCCAAGTCTCTCTTCTCCAGTGCTGAGCTAACTAAGGGAGGAGGAGGGGAGCTGGAGATGACCTGCAAGAGGGAGGAAGATAACACCTTGCAAAAGGACAGACGTGCAGGTAATGCATGCAGATGCAAGAGAAGCAAAGACGGCCGCTACAGTAACTTAGAGGGAAAGGCTATTCCTGGATCCAGAGCTCCGGGAAGGCCGAGGTAATGGTCTCCTGCAGAACTCAGAATCTACTTAACAGGAAAGACCCCCAGAAGTCAGACAGCCTGGGAAACCAGAGGCCCAAAGCGACTTTGGCCCATTTCCTAAAGGGTGGACCGCTTGAACCCCACTGTTAATTATACCCCCTCCAGAGAGCCCATGCAGCCCAGGTGAGCCTGACCTATCTCCTCAGCAAGGCTGGCAGTTCAGCAGCTCATCAGTGTACACGGCTGAAGCTGAGCTGTGACTGAATACCTCGGCTTTTCCTGTCCTGTACCACAAAAAGAAAAACAAAAAAGTAAAATGATCTCTACAACACATACTTGCTCTTCTTCGAATGGGGCTTTGAAATTTACAAAAGAAAAACTAAAACAACTCAGCACCACTGGGTCGGTGGCAAGACGAACAGAGTGTACTGAGAATTATGGAATTCTGGTTTCTTTGAAAACAGACTATCATAACATGTATTCATTTTAATTCCAGGTGTAGGGATATGGGTTGCCTCACAGCAGCTGACTATGATTTGCTTCCTGCCCTAGCAGAGTTGTGGTTTTGCCAGTTGCAGATAGTTTCTGCAATTGTGTGACATTTGGAATTCTGGGAACTTTTCAAAGAGTATAAAATGCTAGGGCCCTGAGAGGTAGGGTGAGTGGTGTCACTCGCTAAGGGGAACTGGCTGCAGTTTGTTAGTAGTTGTGCTCAAAGAAGAAAGGAAGAAATTAGATTCAGATTTCTCCTCTCCCCTCCTCCCTTCTTTCTTTCCTATCTAGTCATAGGGTGTGAAACCAGGGTATAAAGGGTGAGAAAAAGAAGAACCCACAAAGTAGCTTCAGTCAGCTAGAACAGAGCCAACCTGACTGAGTCTCTGTGGTAACATGGAACCACGCACAGTGTTCATTTGTCACAGCAGTGCTCAACTGGAGATGATGATCCATATGCTTATCTTAGCATCTGGAAACCTGCTCAACTCTTCAAAGGTTAAAGCCCAGAGGGAAAGATTTCAGGAAAGCAAAGAACATCTGCGAATAAGCCACAAATTATGGAGCCCAATGGCACATACAGCAGCTGTGGCCACACTCAAACGAGAACTCTTGAAACATGCAGGACAGCCTCCTAGTCCCCAGTGCAGGAAGGCTGCCTCAGCAAGCAGACACCTCAGGTTGTTAGAGGTCATCCTGGGATTGCTTCTGGGGACAGGTGGTCATATAGACAGGCACAGAGACAACATGGAACACGTTCTACCACAAGTAAATTACTCAACATAGCCAAGGACCCAGAGCCTGTGGCCTTGTGTGAATGGAACCACTCAAAGACCACTGTCACCTGAGTGGCCTTGGGCCTGGAGTGCTACGAAAACTCCTATCCTGCCCTCTCCAGGGAGGGCCTAAATGTCACCAGGAACCCAAACAAACAGTACTTCCTGACATCACAGAGGCTCAGCTATCACAAGGCTAGGCAGTGGCCTGGATCTGTGGCCCATGCTGCCCTGTTCTCTGGGCAGGCAACGGCCAGCCTTGACCTCTACCACAGTCAGGCTCACTTCCTGCACACCAGGCCTGGGTAGACCCAGGTAACAAAAGCTGCACAATGCACAAAGCACCAAAGGCCTAGAGCACTGGACCACCGTCTCTGCCCATTCTTCTTCTAGTCTTCCACAGCAGGCTTCCAATGAAAGCACAAGCAGTAAAACAACAGGATAACCAAAGAGCATGGAGCCAGGCACTTCTGCAAGTTAAAGTGCGACCCTTTAAATAGCATTTCGCAGGTTAAAGCTACAGGAATGCACACCTGCTGTCTCACCCAAAACTAAAGATTTCTGTTCAGAACAGACATCCTGAATAACTGTACACTATAAACACTCTCTCCTAACTATTATTTCTAAAATCAACAGGGGGTGCTGGAGAGACAGATCAGCTCTCAGGAGCTCTTTCCAGAAGACCAAGTCCAATTCTCAGCACTTATGTTAGGTGGCTCACAATTGACTAACTCCAGCTCCAGGAGACCCCCTCTGGTTTCTGAGGGCACCTATACAAAAGTATGCATGCATGCATGCATGCCTGCCTGCCTGCCTGTCTGCATGCCTGCCTGCCTGCCTGTCTGCATGCCTGCCTGCCTGCTTACCTATCTACCTGCACGCACGCACACACGCACGCAATATTTTTTGAGAATCTGCAAGGGACTTAATTTTAAAATCTTCAACTAAGTCCTAACCACCATGGAGATATGGGAAAAGGGTACTGCAAGGGTAGATGGGAAAAGGAATACAAAACCATAACGGAGCAAAAGGGAGCTCTTTACACCACAGGCAAGCACACTGCAGAGAGAGAACGCTCAAGCACAGGGTAGAGCAGGGCAAAGGTTCTTACTGGATAAAGCAGTAGAAGACAGACTGCTCTCAGCAACCAGGAGGTACTGAAGTCATTAGGCACACGAACACTTGAACCTTTGGTCCACCCAGTAATTTGGTTTCAGGCTAAAAGCCTCAAGTCCCAGGCAGATAGGAGACTATTCCCTGGGGCTAACATGGGATGGTTGGCACAGTAATGGAGGGAAGGCAGATGTGTGGGTCGGAGTAGCCTCACCACAAACTAGAGATTGTTTATATACATTGCAAATGCTGGTACAGGAGGCTGGGATAAACAGCTTCCAAAACATGGCAATAAAATCTGCACCACTGCAGGGAGGAGGTAAACAGGCAGGACTGGGAAGGAGATAGGGACAGAGTGGGACCTGCACTGCCCAGCCCACAGTACCTTGTTTGAGAAATGGCTCAGCCAGTCTTCCCCATGGGCGCCTCCCCAGCCACTCACACCGGGGTCAGTCCATCTGCCAGAACCTGCATCGCCTGCACCCTTCCGCTGCTGGGACTTACTCCTCCAACCCGAGTCCTGACAAATGCTCCAGCTAGGGGTCACATGTGCCCTTGCAAACAGAGAGCCCATAGCCACAGATTCCTGGAGTCACCTCAGGCACACTGGCCTTGGTCCTTAGCTGGACTAGACTCTCTTAGCCACAAGTGTCACACATACATCCTATCACTGTGAGTTGCATCACAATAATATTTGTGTTTTGCCAGGCAGGGAGTGACAGTTCCATTGTGACACACCATCTCATGTACTCTTACTGGATGGGAATATTAGTGTTCCCATCTTACAAAGTTATGACCAACCATGACCATTCAGATA